AAAGACCTGCATTCCATCAATCACACAGACAAGAAATAATGCTACCATTAACCAGACCATAGATATTCCCAACAATAGGTTATTAGCGTAGACAATTTATCATATAATGATAACAGTAACACCACACCTGATATCCACTTCATGGATTCAGTTCACCTGAATGATCAAGGTATTACAGCAATAGTGAAGAACATAAAATATGATATTGGACCCACTGTGTGAAAAGAATGAAAACTAGAAACTAGAAACAACACATACAAATAACACAACAAACAACCAAAACAATAAACCAATAATAAGTATATGTACCCACTTTATTTTCATTGAATCTTATGTCATTTCAACACTTTCAGTCTTATTGTTCACAAACGTACGTACCTTAACACACGAAGTGAGGTATTGCCATAAAGACACTCAATTCTCCAAAAACTGCATTATAAATTTTCTATTGGAACATTCAGTGTTTAGAAAGGACATTAGAAGATGATGTCTTCATAACAAATATAAATTGCCATAATATCATTGATCTAGGAGAAACATGATTGGGTTCAAATTCAAACACTCTAGACATACCTGGAAAGTATTGTTACTCTATAACAAGAAACAAACAAAGAGGAGGAGGAGGAATAACAAATGGCATAAAACAACATCTTAGGAAAAGCATTACAATTGAAGAAATACCTTCTGAAGACGTGGTGTGAAATGAAATAGAACATTTTAACTTAACTGACATTCACCTGTGTCTCGCTTACTAGTATTATCCGCGATCAAATACAATACAATACACTGCAAGTCACAATTGTTTTAGCACTTTACAAAGTGATATATTATATAGATTTTTGAAACAAGGCAAAATTATTATTGTTGAACAGCAAATTATTTTGATAATGATGGTAATAGGTTTACAGCGTTGCATAATTCTTGTATTGATAAAAACATATCAACAATTTATAATAACAGTGACACATTCATCAATACACATGACAACGCATTATTAGAATTATGTAAAAATTGTAAAATCAGAATTCTTAAAGAAATAATGCCTGGAGATTTCATTTGCAATTTTACATTACATCTTTAAAATGGAATAAGTAGATTATCAATAACCTCTTCTAACCTCACTTTAGAATAATCTTCAATGATATGAATCCGATTGATTTCACACTGTGTTCTCAAAGCACGGAAATTTATCTTCCGATTGGATTCTTGTTCAAGCTATTACATTTTAAATTCCCCATTGCATGTGCTTCCGCGGGAGTTCTTCCAAGCTTTAATTAGACGTGCGTGTTTTAAATTTTCTACGTTATCGTATTGGCCATGTTGTATTTTTTTTTTTGAATACTAGTAACTGTACGACTATAACACGTCAAAGTTCGTCTGAACCAATGATTTAATATTTAACGTGAAGTACCTTAATCTTGTTGATCAAATTCAGTTTTTACAAAGCACAATATTATGACCATCCGATTGGATTCTTGTTCAAGTATTACATTTTAAATTCCTTTTTGTGTGTGCTTCTGCGGGAGTTCTTCCAAGTTTTAATTAGGCGTGCGTGTTTTAAATTTTCTGCGTTATCGTATTGGCCATGTTGTATTTATTTTTAATAACTGTACGACTATAACACGTTAAAGTTCGTCTGAACCAATGATTTAATATTTAACGTAAAATACCTTGATTTTGTTGATCAAATTCAGTTTTCACAATGCACAATATTATGACCAAATTAAATTCCAAATTGTTAATAGCTTCAACCGTCCAAACAGTCTTCAATTATGTTATTCTCTCGTTGTCTATCCACACAGCTTTCAAACTATAACAGCCCTGTTCCAAAATGGTTGCCAAGATCTCGTTTGCGAGCCAGAAAGCATTGTGATTTGTTTTGCCCCCTAAATAATGTTACTCTTTCTCTGCTGTCATTGCGCCTACTGTCTTAAATGCCATGGTTACATAGACCAGTAGAACGGTGGGCCTGGTGATGGTAGAACACTTTTTGGTTGGCAAAATTGTCTCGTGGATCTATATCTGAAGGAGATCTCGCGTTATTTTAAAATGTTTAAAAGTGCTCGAGAACGGTGCTGTTTTGATTAATATCCGTAATGCTAGTTATTCCGTCTA